TCCGCACGGTCCCTGGGGCTGCAGCAGGTCTCTGTGCTAAGGGCCGACCCCGGTGCCGAGGGCAGAGAACAGACAAGACAGGGCACAGTCTGCACCGTGGCAGCTCTGGCCCTGCACCTGCACAGCCTGTCTTGTCCTGTGCGCCCACTGTACCCCTAGGGTCCAGGGAGCAGAGCAGGGCCCTGTCACGGTGCCGCCTCCTGAGTGCTGCAGCTTGAGCCCCAGAGAGGCTTCACCCAAATGGTGTCACCTGCCTCCATTTCTATCCCCAACTGAGCAAAGGAACCCAGAGGTGGTGACACTCAGTGCTGGCAGAGGTGACTCAAGGGACTCAAGGCATTCATCAGGGGCCACGTCAGGGTCGTCCCATGTCTGGCTGGACTGTCAGACCATCAGGGAGATCTCAGGAACTGGCTGTCCTCAGGTCCTCTAGCCACACACAGCCTCCTCAGTCCAGGGCTCTGACTCAGTTTCCTGGACCTCTCTATCCAGGAGGCCCCGTGTCCACAGAGCCAGCACAGAGTCCACCAGCAGGACATGGACACCTCACCAGCTCCCATCACGGGGGCTCATCTGCCTCCACCCCACACTCACAGCCACCAGGGCACACGCATTAGCACTGCCACGTCTTAAAGACCAGAAAGTGGGTTCCCAAGCTCCGCAAGGACCAGAGTCATCAGCAACGCAGCTGAAGTCATTCCATCCAGGAAGAGTCCCCACTAACCCCCCTGAGGGCGTCCACTTGCTTACTTATGCCCAATTCTCCTGGAGTTTTCTGCATGCCCCTGTCCAGTGTCTAAGCCTCTGATCAGGCTGAGCCAGGCTCTCATGGAGTCAGCACCCACAGCTGTAGGGACACTGTCCTGAAGGAACCTTCTGCACAGCACAACTCTTTTTTTTTTTTTTTTTGGAGACATCTATCCTGAATTGGTAACCTATCCCCTGACTTGTCTCTTGATCCACAGGATATTTGAACCACTATATATATTTTGTTGTTATAGTAGCTCAATATACATTCCAATTAATACAATATAAAGGGATACATGCATTCTTATATACATATATAACATATGAATATTTATGAGATGATATACACCAACTTTAGGATAATGGCTTACTCGGGGGAAGGAGAGAGGAGAAGGGATAGGATAATGCAGAAGTAGATAGACCTATATTAATAATATTAATCCAGATTTATTGCTTTTGCCCTGATTACTATGCATCACTTTCTTTCTCAGTATCATGAGACATTTGCTGGAATCCTGTCATAACATTCTTATTCCAAGCAGAAAGAAATAAAGAGAGAGGAAGAAAAAATATTTATGTATACATATATATGGGGAATTATGCCAAAATAAGCTCACTTAGGACAATTTTATGTAAATACCCAACCAAAACTTTTGTTTACATCTGCCTACAATCTTCCCCTCTCTATTTTATGCTCCATTTTGTAACCAAAGCAATTTTGTGTTTTATGCATCAATAGCTTTCCAACCCTCAGAATTCAGTTCAAACCTTGTTCAGCACATGAGGTCCTTCATGGTCCAGCAATTACCCTCTTCATCTCTAGCTCCTAGCCTCCCTGATAGTGCCCCAGACAAACCAACGGCTTTTAGTGTCTGAGAATTGCTGCTGCTCTCTTATTCCTCTTATTGGCAACTACACCTCCTTTGGTTTGGAACAATCTTTTTTACTTAGCTGACCCTTGTTTTTTCTTTCAGACTACTTGAATGCCCTTTA